CGAGCATCTTCACACAAATGAAGTAACCGCTCACCGTTATCATTACGGGAGCCTACACCGTGCTGACCGCCCAGGTGCATTTCATCAGTGGACAACTTTCCAACTTGTGCGTTCAGATCTCCCGCCAGCACAACAGTGCCTGTGCTTCTTCTATGGCGAAGGAGCTGGGTCAGTTGTCGGTAAAAGTCGTTCTTTACCGAATCATCGCTACAGTTTGTGGGCGCGTAGGCAGCGATGATGAATAGACACCTATTAGTTCCGCGCGACTTCGAAGCTTTGAACAAGCCAGCTAATCGGACCGCACACATCCGGCTACTGATTAGAATCCAATCAACCAGAGTAGCTTCAGCCCGGGGACTCAGGGCAATGTCAACACCAGCTTGGCCGATGCTCGAAGCTGCATCGTCACCGGATAGGCGCAATGAGAGAAAACTGCTTGCGTCACCTGAAGTGTATCGCAGAGTGAGCACAGAGCTCGAGTCTTGCAGGCGGGTCTCTGATAATCAGGAGATATCGATCGAGAGGGTCTCCAATGTTCTGGCAAGTGCTGCCTGTTGACCGATCTGTAGTAATGTGCGTACATTGAGGCATGCCAATCTGAAGGAGGATCGAGGGCTCCAAATGGAAGCCGATGAACTGGAATGGACCGCTTGGTTGGACATGGGCTTGTCGAAAGGAGAGGAGTGACGCTCCGCGTTCATATGTGAGTTGAAATTAGAAGATAAATGCCTAGCAAAGCATGTTGGGGGAGGGCCAAGAATCGGGGGTTGAAAACTGGGGGGATAAAAGTGAAGTTGGAACAGGACGGTAAAAGTGAAAAAGCGTAAGAGGGGGAATAAGAAGACGGGAAGGCTTGAGCAGTAGCATCTAAACCCCTATCCACCCTGCTCGATGCAGCAGATAGGGCACCGTTGATTATCCTCTGCGGTGGCCAGAGCATCAGGAAATTGTTTGGGGTAAGATTCATTGTATTGCTTGGGCAGGATACTGTCAGGTTGCCCAGGCCTAGACAGGAGAACGATTAGGGTTCTCAAGCAAAGCCTTTGGTTCAAAAACCTGACCGCAAGGCAGCGGGTTTGGCATTGGGCTACAAGGAGTCCGTTTTAAGGAATAAGGTGCCACCCTCATTCCAACCCCCAACCTGGAGGACCAGGAGGCTGAGTTTGTCTGGCCTCTAACCATTGACCAATCTGGTATGAGTGGCTCTGAAGGTGCAAAAGCACCACCCAGCATAGCTCAATGGATCGCTGAGGCACACAAACTATCGCACCACGGTAAGGTGCAGCCTCATTGCAATGGCATCGTTGACTCAGATCATGCACTGGTCTGCGCGAAAATCTGTATGTGTTATGAGGATCCTGAAATACGAGGCACTGCACTATTGATGTAAACAAATCAACTGATTACTTTGTCCAGGCGAGCTATAATCTTCACTGGCATTTGCACTCAGTTGCAATCCACCGCAAGACGTGGAGCAACACCGGACGGGATGTGATGACCATTTCCGAACAGTCATGCTGCGGCCTATGTCGACGCCCCTTAAAGGCTTAGATCTCTGCTCATTCTCTGGAGCTGTTCAAATGCCACAAAGATATCGCGCCGGAATCAGATTGCAACGAGCGGCGCCTTTCTGCCAACTGGCTGCTCAAGCAAAGCCTACGCAAGGATCGCGAGACATGGTGATCTGAGCGTGCTTTACTGATGGAGATCGCTGTCCTCTCTGGCAACACTCTCAGCCTTTTGCAACTCATTCGGTCCACTAGCGTCAGAAGCCTGGTGTCAGTGAGGTCATTTGTGATGTGGATGAGTCTCTGATTACAAACCAACAGAGACGTATGGACTGCTGGGCCGAGCACTTTCACTCGCAGTTCAACTGGCCTCCATCAGTACATGCAGTACACCTTGTTGTCCACCCTGGCTCTTCCCACTGAATCCACCCCGCGAACCGGAAGTCTGCTTTGAGATTCCACGCTTGAAGTGGTTCAAGGCTGCCGGCTCAGACGGACTTCCTCCAGAGCTGTTCAAGTACGGCGGTGCGGTGATCATTTGGCAGCTGATCCTGTTGTTCGCAAAAATCTGGCATGAAGAGAAAGTACCTTTTTTGGGGCGAATCAGTTATTGTCCCGATTTCAAGCAAGGCGCTCGCACTTTATGTGTATATCATCGCGGGATCAGTCTTATTTCGGTTGCCTTCAGGCTGTTAGCATTCATTCTGCTTCGCAGACTATCTCCAGTACGTGAATCATACTACCGTGAAGAACAAGCTGGTTTCCGTCCCAGCCGCGGATGCGTGGATCAAATCTTCATGCTCCGCCAGCTCCTCGAACATCGCCACATTTATCACAGGCCCACTATCATTGCATTCCTAGACATATGTGCCGCTTTTGACTCTGTTGATCGACCTGCTTTATGGCGTTGCTTGCTAAAGAACTGGGTTCCAGAGAAATACACCGCTATCTTACGAGCACTTTACCTTCACACATCCGTCAGAGTGAGGGTCTATGGCAAACTTTCCTCGTAATTCGCTGTCAATAGCGGTGTGCGACAGGGCTGCTCTATGTCCCCATTCCTCTTCAACTTCGCATTCGAAGACATTCTGTCGAATGCTCTAGAAGGTTTCCAACATTTTGGCCTAAAGCTTCTACCGGGTGAGCGCGCGACTGACTTAGAGTATGCTGATGATATTTCCTTACATGGTGACGATCCTCAGGGTATGCAACTCATTCTGCATCGTTTGGCGGTTGAAGCATCTAAGTATGGCATGAGCTTCGCCCCATGGAAGTGTAAATTACTGCTCAAGAATTGGCTTTCACCTGCTCCCGTGCTCACTCTCGAAGGTGCACAACTTGAACAGGTAGATAGTTTTGTCAACTTTGGGAGCTGTGTTCCTGATGATGGCACTATCAACAAAGAAGTTTCTCTTCGCATCGCTAAAGCTCGATCAGCATTTGTCAATCTGAGGAACTTGTGACGTCGTCTTGACCTCTCATTCTCACTAAAGGGCCGCGTTTACAGCGTATCAGTTCGCTCAGTATTGTTGTATGGGTGTGAGTCCTGGCCGATTCGCGTGGATGACATGCGTCGTCTTTCTGCCTTCGATAACGGTTGCTTAAGGAGGATCGCTCGTGTTTGGTGTCAACATCGAGTTAATAGTAATGACGTTCTACATCGCATTTTGCGGAATGCGAGTATTCCATTCAACAAACTGGTTTTGTTGCGCCAGTTGAGATGGCTCGGTCACGTTCTATGCATGGCACCTGAGCGTCTACCCCGTGGCGCTCTATTCGCTCGTCAAGCACCTGGCTGGAAGCGACCTCGTGGTGGTCAGCCTTCTACATGGCGGCGGCACATGAAATCGCTGACATCGTGTCTAGCCGCTGTTGTATCCGTACGTCTTCCAGGATGGGGACCTAAAGATGAGGAGTGCCGATGGCTTAACACTCTTGAAGATATGGCCCGCAACCGGAATCAGTGAAAGAATTGTGTGTAGTATTGTAATGATTCACATGTTTAATACTTCAAACATTAAAAATGACAAAAAGGAAATAAAATCTGCATGTGAAAAACAAACTAAACATGTTTTGTTCTACTTTTTGTCAAAATGTTCCATTCTTTCTGCGGCATTGTAGCTGAAGTCTGTTGCTTACCTGCAACTCCTATGCCACGATGATTATGACGTGATGACTCTCCCTTATCCTCTGATCTTCATGGTTTTTTGTTGGCTCTGTGAATGGTTGATAGACTGCTGAAATCATGTCACGTGAGAGAGCATCATGTAGTGGGTGAGAGCAGTCACTTAGGACCTTAGAAGGAAAGTTCATGCAAGCGTCAAAACGCTTACGGGCAATAAAATCAACTATGGAATCACTGGGCAAGCCACCACCTCTGGAATTATGTTTAATCGACCGCAGAATCAAGACATAGTCCTTCTGCAGTAGACTAGGGAAGATTACTGGAGGACAGTACAGTCAGTGGATTAGTATGCATACAGTTACAGATCTCAAAATTAAGCTTCGCGATATGTCTGACGGAATTTACGAGCAAACACATGTATTTAGGCCATATAAATACCTGCATATCCCACTTTGGCCCACAGTTCCTTTCGTTTCGTTTTTACATTGCCCGAATATCTTTCATATGTGCATCTATAGGCTGAAAAAACAACAGCACGCAATCCGGAAATACACCCACATAAACTTCTCATCCTCCTTTTTGTTTATTCCGCGATATCATGAAATGGTCGTTCTATTTGCTTGATCTGTCCCTTTTAGGAAACAGCTCGTATTATTCAAAAACGTATAATTTTGGGTGTTTTATTTATCAGGAAGTGGCTTAGGGGCGCAATTCTTCACCTGTCATTGAACGATTCTCCGATTATTCCTTTTATACTCATTAGATTTCCGTACTACAACGGACACAATGAATTCCCTCTCCGTTCCGTATGGAGGCGTGTTTAATAGCCACTTGCAATAGCGAGTGTATTACCCTCATACGTACTATTCTTTCAACATCACAGCAAAACTTAACTCAGGCACTGCGCCCCCGATGCCCCCTAGCTAGCTAGCTAGGCACCGGAACTAGTGATTATCCGTCGAAATTTCCGTGCTTATCCTATGTGAAGTTTCACTGGCGCTGGTGCGGTCCAACAAGCATGCAAACTTACCAGCCACACCAACTAGAAGGAACTAAAGGGTTCAAATAAGTGCTCTCACTTTCTACGATCCCAGTTTGAACTTTGTTATAAGACAGATATGTCCAGTTTCCACTGCTTCAGACATCCTAGGATGAAGCACTGCCGATACATAGTTGGTCATAGCGGATTTAGTCTCAGTTCTTCTTAACAGAAGGCAATGCTTTGTCGCTGCATAACTAGTCGATATCAGCGCATCATGGTTGATCTGTTGCAAGTAAAAGCGTGATAACACATTTACTGGTTTGCTTTGTTCTTGTTCCGTCTGAACCTTGAGCGTTCTTAACCAGCATGTTTCACCGTTTTGTAGGAAATGTCTGCCCTCTCGATCTTCCTCCAGGGCACGACCAGCCAACGTCAGTACCCACACCATTATGTGGATTCCGCAGTCACCGCTTATCTCCAGTCTTGTCGGTGAGTGCTCTGGTTCCTTTCGTATATCATCGCGAATGGCCGGTAATTTTTCCCTCTTCATTTCAAATCATTCATTCATTCATTCTTTCTGTCAGCGATCAGGTTGCATTATTTAACACGCGACCAGAGGAAAAATGTGGTGTTTCCTATCATATTGGTTGACTCTCTTCCGACACTAGCTCGTTGCGACCTTTTTCTCTTTAGTAATTGATGCAAACTTGGTATAGGTTGTCGTTCTGATAAACTTTCCGAATACGGCCATCCGTAGTCAAGCTCCATGCATTTTTGATGAATCTACTCCGTTCTATTCATCTCTCCCCATCATCATCAACAGCAGTACATCAGCCATTTCAGTTGACGCCTCGCTCCCTTACAACCACTTCTAAATGGTCTTTCACTGGCACCATTGGTTACTGGACAAATGACTCAACCCGGCGTTGGACTGTATGCTACTCACGTGGTTATTGTGCGTTGTTTTATGCTGACTTCCGAAGACTTTAGATATGGCTTCTAACTCGCGCACTCTTGAGGTACTCATTTTGCGCTGTACATCTCTGCCTTCTCATGGATTCTCCGGTTCTGCTTTATTTGACTGCTGTTTCACTGCGACCATGAATTATACACAAAGGGGCTTACCATAAACTTTAACGGCTAATGCATATGCATTGGACGGGAAAAGCACCAGTTCCGTAAAAGATCTAGGCGTGCTCTGATCTAGGCAGTAATCTGAAGTTTGTCAACAACACAAACAGACTGTACGCAAACGGACTACGCCTGCTTTGAGCACCTAAACGCAGTTTCTGCACTTGGTGTGAAGTGATTGCCACTCGTCAGTTTTTTTCTCTTTAGTACGGCTCACCTGCCTATTGCCCGATTTAGATAGGTGAAGTGTAGAGACTACAACGGGTCCAGCATGTAGCTACCCGGCTCATGCCCAGTTTACGGGGTACATAGTACGAGGACCGACGTAGGAGATTAGGCTTTATATCCTGTCACATCGTCATTAGGACGCACTGAATACTGCACTGTGCAGCTACAATATACTGCCACCGCGCAAGAATCAGCGACGTGATTCCGCGCATGTGCCCCATCCATCCACAATAGAGCAGTACAGATTTTTATCTACTCGTTCTCTATTTTCTGTATTCAATGAACGATGATTTATCTCTGGATAAAAGCAAGTGCTTGACACGTACCGTAGGATGGTTGAGGCGAATATGATGAAATCAAAATATGTCTGGGTCATCTACCGAACGTCTGCCCAGAAGAATACTTTGCTAAATTATATCAGTGTAAAACTAAAAAACGTCGAGCGTAAACGTTCAGAAATACACTGGGGTGCAGTGATCATTGATATAAGGCGTGACAAAAGTAAATTATAGTCGCTCACTTGGGTCCATGTGATACATAAATCCTGTAGAAAAGCGTGCTTGGTGCAATCCACAATAGAGGAGTTTAGGTAAAAAAAGTGCTGAGAGGTAAGAGCAACATTTGATCGTTTTTTGAAAACGTCCAAGGTGGGAGAGGATACAACGAAGTTTGGGAGTGCGTTCCAGGGTTGGCAAACCCGAAGGGAAAAATTAATCCGTCGACGCTCTAGACGGCTGTACTGTTCCTCCAATTTTAAGCATTACACCTGAGCTGCGTGTTGTGACTAAGTTTCAGCAAATGGCGGCATACGTGGTTGGGGCCACTCAATATCTGATAAGCTAATATGAGATCGCCGCGCAGCCTTTGATAGCGTCCGTCGCAAATTCCCAGAAACTTCAGCCTTCGGTGGTAAGAGTGATAGCGCAGGCCCTTTGTTGCTTTTCGTTGTGGTGCCTCTAACGCCTATAGGTCGCGCTTCAACCAAGGTTACCAAGCTTGGATAGCGTATTCAACATGCGGGAGCACGTAGGAACTGTGCATCATTGGGAAGATTCATGGATCAAATCTCCTGAATGTCCTTCACAACATGCCGACGTGCTGGTTGCCTCTTTTCGCAGCTACCTCAGCCTGTTTTGAACAGTTGACATCGCTCTGTACGAGCACACCAAGTTCACGTTCCTGGGAGTTGGTCTGCAATCCGTTTGTCCCAAGTAAATAGGCGTAGTTATGTCTATGGCGTAATTGTACAACGCGACATTTGTTTACGTTGAATGGTAGGGCGTTTTGAACTGACCAGTTCGACATTGTGTGTAGATCTCACTTGAGCCGTTCCTGGTCGTCCGGTCCTCTGATCCTTCGGCATATCTTGATATCATTGACGAAAAATAGGAAATCGGAAGTAATTGATCTCGCCAAATCGTTAGTGAACACCAAGAGTAAACGGGGTCCAAGCACCAAGCCATGTGGTACACCACACACCAGATCGATTGCATCGGACAATGATTCTCTAACTCTCACATCTACACGTCGATCGTGTAGAATAATTGCCAATCCCACTCTGGATTGGGTCGCCAATGCCGTAATTCCGAAGCTTCTGAATGAGAATGCGATGGTCTAAGCGATCAAACGCTTTTGTGAAGTCCAGGTAGATGGCATCGACTCCTGCTCCATCATCAACAGCTTCAGTCCAGCTATTACGTGCAACCCAGTATCGTTTGCGGTGAACTCACGTGGGGAGCCTCATTTTGGGGAGTCCGGCTAACTGCACAGATAACATCTTGATCGTTCTGATTGGACAGCTGCTGAATCATTGCGGTATCGTGCTTCAAATTCGTCATGCTTTGGCACTCACCGGTCACTTGCTGAAATGTGACATCCGGATTCTGCTCAATTTGGTTCAGTAATTTTGTTCGAATGTCGGCGTCTTTGGATGCTTGTAGGCCACAAACGTATTTGAGACATTTAAACTGATCACTTGTCATCTTGTGTAGTTGTGACCGTTCGCACTCTCGATTCAAACGGCTGGAATAGTCAACCCAATCTTCGTCTTCTTTTTTTGTTATTGTCAGACACTTGTATCGGATGTTGAACAAAGATGTCTGCGACAGGACTGCGACCACTTCATCGAACGGCACATCGGTACTCATTTTAGGTAAGACAAAATTGGTGAACTTCTCGTGTTCGGCAGCACCCAGCTTCCGCAGCATTAGTCGAATCTTCTTTTCTGCTGGAAGCTTGGCGAAATCAACCCAGAACATGTCTTCATACTTGTGGAACCATGAAACAAATGTTATGCCAGCATCAGCGTCATAATGGAACTCACTGATCTACTGAGCCAGGGTTTCTTATGAGGGAGCACTTTCACTTGTCCTTAACCTTGGGCTTTACTGCACTGTCATCTTCTGAGTTAGCTTCTCGATCAGCTTGGCCTGGGATGCTTCAAACTGCGCCTTGTTGCTGCAAAAGCATCTGCAGTTGTTCAAAGCTGATTTTCCATTTCTGTGTTCAGTTGAACTCACGTCGCCGCTGGTATAACGCTTCTTCTTTCCCTCTGCTTTCTGGCACTGACAACTGTTGTACTGCCGCTAGCTGCCCTACGAGACTGCGACCGTCTGACTTCTCAATCACGCGCCCAACCAACCGAAGTAATACAAAAGGCCAGAACTGGGTAGACAGAGATTATATCTACACCATAGATTAATTCGATTTATTGGTAACCGAAACATGCTAATTTAAGAAGTCAAGGTCGGTCACTATTCCGCGTCTGGTTTTCAGCTAGTGTGAGTGAGTTCCACTCCACGAGTTAATCATATTGACGGAGTAGTTCGATTCCTTTGACGCGGACTGGTATTTGCTTTCCGATCAGTTCTCACCCGATTCCCAAATTCAGCTCCGCTTGCGTCTCTATTATACCGTCTTTTCGCTGCTACAAGATTCTCGACATTTTTACAGTTATTCACGTAATTACTTATGCTTTCGGGACGTTTAGTCCATCAGACTTTTATGATTTTGAAAATTGTTGACAATACGTGCTTGAACTCGGTGTTTCCCTCTACATGATTATTTTCTTTGCCTGGATCCATAAGGTAGATATAGAGCGTGAACTAGGACTGCGGCTCGGCACATAATGGCTAATGACTAGCGACATAATCACTAGACTATTAAATTCTTTGGGCAGGAAGATGCTGTTTCTTGGTTAATAGCCCCATCAAATTGGTGGCTGCCCTCACCCCCAGCCCAACAGCCTGTGAGAACCACAAACAACGTAGTCGTGGACTCAAATCCTAAGTTTTTCGGATGATACATGCTGCTGGTGAATTCACTTGAGATAGGGCGGTCTTTTTCCCTCTTTACGAATATATGTGGTATTTGCCTAACTGTGTTTACCCCTTTCTGGCCATTCCCATAGTCTTAAGCCGGCTGCCTGCCTTGTAATCTGATATCGCGGGTTCGAGCCTGTCCTAGAGACCAGGCGACTCTCGCGGTATCCTTGGCCCACACCTGACCGGGGGTAATTGCGCAACAGCGGAGCGTCGCTACTGCGTACCGGCGTATTACCAATGCCTCCCACTTCGTTCTGTTGCTCTCTACTTTCCCTTCATCACACTTTTTGGTTCCAGGTTTTCTTTTCTTCTGCAGGTACTCTCAACCTAACCGTTCTGTCTATGGCATAAATCGTACCACACGCTTATGACTCGGCTGGTGACCGAGTGACTAAGGCGTCTTTTACATCGGACATACGACCAGGTGCTCACCAAAACGCGTAACGGCACACTGGCCAAATTCACTACGGCGAGGCACGGCTCAATGCATCCGTAGTGTATTTGCTTCTAAGCGGACTCGAAATTCTGATTGCTTATTTGTTTGTGATCTATCCTGTCACTACGTTACCCAAAACACTCAGAAGTCGTCCTATAAAGGCTCTTGAAGCTATCGCCACCAAACTGATTCAACCTGAATTGCTCATGACAGGAAAAGACAACACAGGAGAAGTAGAGAAACAGCTAACCGGCTGCCTCAGGCGAATAATGCAAGCCAAACTCATCACGAAGAAGGAATTCGAAAAGCTGAAGCCTTCAGGTGGACACCTACCGAGATTATATGGCCTACCTAAAGTTCACAAGGAAGGCGCCCCAATGCGCCCAATCTTGGACATGGTGGGTTCTCCTCAGCATTTGTTGGCCCAGTGGATGGTGGCGAAGCTGCAGCGTTACGGAATTTGGTTTGTACTTACTGCGTGAGAGACACGTTCGAATTCATTGAGAGGATATCTGAAAGCAACCTTGTTAACAAAGGATGATATCATTCGATGCCCAGTCGTTGTTCACAAACATTCCATTGCTCGAAACCGTGGATTACGTATGCGAGCTTGCTCGGCAACTGCCCATATACACAACTTTTCCGGAGACTTTGCTAAAGGAGGTGTTACTTCGTTGCACGTTAAATGTTCAGTTCACTTTCAATGGTGAAATGTACCGTCAGATTGACGGAGTGGCAATGGGATCTCCTTTGGGGCCGCTGCTGGCTGATATATTCATGGCGAAACTGGAACATGGCCCACTTGCAACGCACATCCGTGAAACCGAAATGTACGTACGGTATGTGGATGACACCTTCGTACTTTGCAAATCCGAAAAGCATGCGGAACAGTTGCTGAAAGCTTTCAATGACGCACACAAGAATCTTCATTTCACTTGTGAACACGAACTCGGAAACCGGTTACCTTTCTTGGATGTAGAAGTTATCCGTAACTCAGACGGATCATGCAGCAGAAAGGTACACAGAAAGCACACATGGACTGGGCAGTACACTAACTTCCACAGCGCAGTACCACTACAGCACAAGCGGAGTTTAACCAGATCTCTCGCCTTCAGGGCGCGCAGTATTTGTACACCGGATACCGTCAACGAAGAACTACAGAGAATCAGCGACGCCCTCAGGGAAAATGGCTATCCGGATAAATTTATCATGAAACATTTGAAGGAACGTAATCGAAAGCCACCTAGGAGCATTGCTCCTAAGAAAGAGCTTTTCATACATGTACCCTTTAAGGGCGATTCTGCAGCTGATATGTTATCCAGACGCCTGAAAGATGCTGTCGAGAAAACTTATTTCGCGGCCCGCCTGAGAATCGTTTTTCACAATAAGCCGTTGCTTACAAAACCCTTGAAGGATAGACTACCGCCATTGACCCGTTCAATGATCATTTATCAGTACTCGTGCTCCTGTGGTGCACGATACGTGGGTCGCACGACGAGACGCCTATCTCAGAGGGTTCGTGAACACATCCCGGCATGGTTTTACAGAGGCGAAATGAGGTCTTCAGACAGCTCTATCATGTCGCACCTCCTTGAATGTGGCCATACAGCTTCAGAGAATGACTTCAAAGTCATTTACTCATTACCTGAACACTTCTCCCAAGGATTCCGCAAACAGCTCTTATCCATCGCCGAGGCTATGTACATTCACCATCTAAAGCCGGAATTATGTGTCCAAAAACGATTTATACGGCCGATATTACTACCTTGGCCAACGGACACCGTTACTTAGTTATTTGGACGTCATCTTACCTACTTAATTACCTTGTACTAATGAGAATTGTGTACATATGTTTATTTAGTTTACTTGGTCTACCATCTCTATCTCTGTCTCAAGTTATCGATTTTGGTCATTCAAACAGTCAAGAAGTCAATCCCAGCCCCAGTTGACGCTATATCCACAATCACTGTTATGTAAAAGTTTGGGTCTGATGAGATTTACCGAAAAGAATTCTTTACCCTGAAATGATTTCTGATATTGATTCATATTAATGAAATGGGAATCTTTGCTTTGCTGAAGATCAGCATTGCCCGTGATTCATTGAAACTCCTAAATGAGTATCTGAAGTTCAATACTCGGCTGGAAGAATCCAGGGTCGAATTGGAATTCCTCAATGAATGCGTACAGGCAAACCGCTATCCAAAGCACTTTTGGAAGGAAATACGGCGGTGTGGCCTCTACCCAAACGCAAAATCCTTGAAGAGACATGCACTCAATTATGTGGATACCATCCGCGTTAAGATGTCGGAGCAGGAGAGATTCATTTCACAAAGATTAACAGCTGTGTTATGCCTGCCTGAAGACTTGAGACAGCCTTTTGAGGATTATGTAGAACTGGTTAAACAGAAAATGGGAGTACGGAAACAAAAGAAGTTAGTTAGTACGCTTAATAGCCATGTCCCCCAGTTGACATTTCCGAATAACCCGCAGCGATATGTGTTTAACCTTTCAAGTGTGATACTAACCCAGACGCAGCTGAACGTGTTGTCATTAGGTCCAAAGTTTTGCATACCATGTAAGAAAATAGATCAGGCGGCTTTAGAGGTGCAGTTTGAAAGCCTAATTGCTCAGACTAAAGACCTGCTTCCAACCTCATCAAGTGATGTTGAGAATCTAAAATCTAGCCTAGTTCATAGTTGCCATGAATACGTTAGGACCAAACCATCTAGTAATAGTATTATCACTAGGGAACAAATCCAGTCACTTAAAGAGCTACGGTTAAACAACGAATTAATAATCTCTAAGCCAGACAAGGGCTCTGGCATAGTGTTAATGGATAGGGTGGATTATATCCATAAAATGCAACACATCCTCAGTGATGAGAGTAAGTTTCAGAGGCTCATGACAGGAAAAGACAACACAGGAGAGGTAGAGAAACAGCTAACCGGCTGCCTCAGGCGAATGATGCAAGCCAAACTCATCACGAAGAAGGAATTCGAAAAGCTGAAGCCTTCAGGTGGACACCTACCGAGATTATATGGCCTACCTAAAGTTCACAAGGAAGGCGCCCCAATGCGCCCAATCTTGGACATGGTGGGTTCTCCTCAGCATTTGTTGGCCCAGTGGATGGTGGCGAAGCTGCAGCCGTTACGGAATTTGGTTTGTACTTACTGCGTGAGAGACACGTTCGAATTCATTGAGAGGATATCTGAAAGCAACCTTGTTAACAAAAGGATGATATCATTCGATGCCCAGTCGTTGTTCACAAACATTCCATTGCTCGAAACCGTGGATTACGTATGCGAGCTTGCTCGGCAACTGCCCATATACACAACTTTTCCGGAGACTTTGCTAAAGGAGGTGTTACTTCGTTGCACGTTAAATGTTCAGTTCACTTTCAATGGTGAAATGTACCGTCAGATTGACGGAGTGGCAATGGGATCTCCTTTGGGGCCGCTGCTGGCTGATATATTCATGGCGAAACTGGAACATGGCCCACTTGCAACGCACATCCGTGAAACCGAAATGTACGTACGGTATGTGGATGACACCTTCGTACTTTGCAAATCCGAAAAGCATGCGGAACAGTTGCTGAAAGCTTTCAATGACGCACACAAGAATCTTCATTTCACTTGTGAACACGAACTCGGAAACCGGTTACCTTTCTTGGATGTAGAAGTTATCCGTAACTCAGACGGATCATGCAGCAGAAAGGTACACAGAAAGCACACATGGACTGGGCAGTACACTAACTTCCACAGCGCAGTACCACTACAGCACAAGCGGAGTTTAATCAGATCTCTCGCCTTCAGGGCGCGCAGTATTTGTACACCGGAATTAGGCAACCCTCTAAACCTACTCATTTCATCCAGACTAACTACAAATATGTCTGGAACGCATCTGTGAAGACCTATCCACACTAAATATAGGTATTGAACGTTTATTAATGTAGTTCTTCGCAGTGATACCCCAAGTACTTGGGTACAGATGCCGCATCTCAGAAGGTTCTATCGCACTTTCCGGAAACGTGATCCCAAAGTCCGACACAGTTCGGGACTTAGGAATTAGATATCCAACTCTTGTGAATTTCTCCGAACATGTTTTATCAGGTTGCAAAAGCAAGGCAGTTACGCGGATATATCACCAGAACTTTCTCCCTACCTGAAGTACGACTTGAGTCATTCAAGACAATAGTATGACCGACTCTGGAATACTGTATTACCTTTCACAGCCAATTGAGAAAGAAAGACAGAACGGCGCTGGAAAATGTCCAACGATCATTTACCAAGCTGGTCATGGGGCGCTGCTCAAATCTGAGTTAGTATGATCGATGTCGAAAACTCCAACTGGATCCTCTTTGGCTGAGACGTTGGAATAACAATCTCGTTCCCTTCTATAATATCATAAACCAACGAATTTAGGCAGACAGCACTACACTTGAACTACGGAAGACTTCAGTCTACCTCACACGTAATGGCGGCTACTTGCTACGCACAAAGCTTGTATGTCATAAAATTCAATCGAATTTCTTCTTGGTGAGATACACTGGTCTGTGAAACAGACTACCCCTACAGGTACGCATGAGTGCAAGCTATGCCATATTTCGAATTTCCCTATCGACGTTCCTTACTATACCAAATGTGTTGAAGATATTTGACTCGCAACAAACTCTAGAAATATTGACAGAAGCTGATATGAAATACATTTGAGCAGATATTTGCTTACAAGTAGCTTAGACTCTACTTGTCATTCAAACAGTCAAGAAGTCAATCCCAGCCCCAGTTGACGCTATATCCACAATCACTGTTATGTAAAAGTTTGGGTCTGATGAGATTTACCGAAAAGAATTCTTTACCCTGAAATGATTTCTGATATTGATTCATATTAATGAAATGGGAATCTTTGCTTTGCTGAAGATCAGCATTGCCCGTGATT